CCCCCACCCACCTGCCCCACCCCAGGCCTTTTGTGGAGGTCTGACCGTTCACCCATGCAGGATGTGGTTCTGCAACAACTTACATTTAATAGTGGGTGTTACTGTCCTTGAAGAAGAACAACCCCTAAGCCTAAGCCTAACCCTAACCCTGTCATAAATCATATGTACAGCATAGACTCATGTTTATATTTCCCTTTTATTTAAAATTCAAGGAACATAGGATAAGCTACATATCTGCATGCCCACCAGAAGGGGGGGGTGGTGGAGCTGTCCACATCCCGGTGCTGAATTCGCTTCCACCCTCTCAGGATTAACATACGAAGTGAGAGGTAATTAGGGGAGAGGGTGGTGGTCCATGGTCTTAAGGAAAACCTGATAGATACGCATGCATGTTGTTGGTCAAGATTAGAGCTGTTGTGAATCAGCACAACCTCCCGAAACCAGGAGAACTGTCCTGACTTGCGGACTCTCTGACGACAACTTTGAATTTACTTTGCAGTGTTGGGTTGGTGCTGCCCATCCATCAGGAAAAGTGCTAAATGCCCCGTGGAAGGTGCTATAGCAGAGCTCTTTTTAAAAAATATATTCTTATTGATTTCAGAGAGGAAGGGACAGGGAGAGAGAGATAGAAATATCAATGATTAGAGAGAATCATTGATTGGTTGCCTCCTGCATGCCCCATACTGGGGATTAAGCCTGCATCCTGGGCATGTGCCCTTGACCAGAATCAAACCCGGGACCCTTCAGTCTGCAGGCTGATGCTCTCTATAGCAGGGTTCTTTTTTTAAAAATATATTTTATTGATTTTTTACAGAGAGGAAGAGAGAGTGATCGAGAGTTAGAAACATCGATGAGAGAGAAACATCGATCAGCTGCCTCCTGCACATCTCCTACTGGGGATAAGCCCGCAACCAAGGTACATGCCCTTGACCGGAACTGAACCTGGGACCCTTCAGTCCGCAGGCCGACGCTCCATCCACTGAGCCAAACCGGTTTCGGCGATATAGCAGGGTTCTTGACGATTTATTCTTCAGCTGCTAAAGCGAAGCTCAAGATGCAGTGTTATATTTAAGGGGGATGGTATGTTAAAGACAATAAGAATGCCACTGGCAACCCCTCCTCTGGTTGTCAATGGGAAAAAGATGAAAGCATTTATTCATAAAGATATGTGTGCCCATGGTTTATGGATGTCAGCAACCTTCCTCCTTCCCCCTCCACCTTCACCGCCTCACACAGGCAGGTGTGTGCACTTCCTGCATCCTGGACAGTGAGCCTTCTTGTCGTTGCCTGAGGAGCAAACATTCAGAAACACTAAGCGCAGTTTTGGCTCCTGTGAGATGTCTCTGTTGACCTGCACTTCCTGTGGCTGAGGACTTGGGGAACATGACTCTTCTGTTAAACAGGAGGCAGGGGCTGAGCAAAGCGGAGAAGGTCCAGGATGTGGTGGGCAGTGTCTCCACACGGCATGGGTACTGTTCACAAGGTGCCCATCTCACAGGAAGAGGACCAGCCCTTTCACCCTAAAAATAGCAGGTGCTGAGGTTTTGACATGAACCACGTCACTGACCACACCTCACATCTTAAAGTACCACATTTACTTTTCCTAAGCTCTACAGTCACCTAAGGACTTCCACATAATTTGCTGCCATTGGAAAGTCATATCAATTATTCCATTTATAGCTTTCAACAGCCCCTGGCCAAGCTAATGTAGAAAAATAGTGAATAGTCTGAAGCAATCTTCAGGAGAAATATGGCATCTCTTTTATAGCAGCTGGTATCTATTAGGCCTTGTGCCAGTTGCATATTCTTCACTCTCCTGCCAAACAAAAAGCAGAGAGGACAGTTGGATTCTGCATTTCTAGAGAAGACAACCTACAAGGTCTGCTTTTTGTTATTTTAGTTGAAATCATTTATTGTTTATGAGTCAAAATCAGTGTC